GGCCCCCCAGCAGATGTTGACAGCCACAGCCACGCCCATGGCGGCTCCAGGAACCACCACGGTGACCTCACAGATCCAGCAGGTCCCGGTGAGGGGGTCTAGCCAGGCATCAGGGAGGTGGCAGCCCTGGGCCCAGACCCGCAGCCCACTGCTGAGGCCTCACCCATCCTTAGGTCCTGCTGCAGCCTCACTTCATCAAAGCAGACTCACTGCTCCTGACGACCATGAAAGCAGACGTGGGAGCCTCCGTGAAGGCGGCAGGCATCGGCTCCCTGGCCCCCGGCACAGCCATGCAGGCAGCACCCCTGCAGGTGGGCGGCAAGTGGGCGGCCCGGGCAGGGTGGGGGCCTGGGGTCTGCAGGCCTGCATGCCTGCCTGCTAACCGCGTCTGGCCTTGCAGACCCTCGTGAGCGGTGGAACCATCCTGGCGACAGTGCCGCTGGTAGTGGATACCGACAAGCTGCCCATCAACCGCCTGGCCGCCGGAGGCAAGGCCCAGGGTTTGGCCCAGAGCCGTGGTGAGAAACGCACAGCGCACAATGCAATTGAGAAGCGCTACCGCTCTTCCATCAACGACAAGATCGCTGAGCTCAAGGACCTGGTGGTGGGCACAGAGGCCAAGGTGCGGGCGGGGCCCCCCACCTGGCAGCCCTGGAAGGAGGAGAAGGGTGGGCTGAACCAGACAGGCAGGGCCTGCGCCTTCCGACTTCTCTGGCCCGGGAGCCCCGTCTGTTCAGCCAGGCTTCGTCAAGGCCCTGTGCACCATGGGCTCTTCTGGGCACTGGGGGTTCAGCGGCAGACACACAGAAACCCTGCTGTGGCTCCAGGGGGGTGCCAGGGGTGCCAGTAGCCGGGGCGGGTAAACATTAGGGTGTGCCCGCTGGAGGAAGGGAACTGAAGCAGAGTGAGGGATGGTGAGAGTTGAAAACCTGACTTGGGTGGTCAGGGAAGGCCCCACACGGGTGACATATCACAGGAGGTGAGGTGCGGAGATGGTGGCGAGGAGGACAGCAGTTAGCCAGGTGCTGCTGTTTGTGTTTTACCTATTAATCCTCATGCCCTTCCTGGGAGGTAGGTTCCACTAGGGAAGTAACATTCCACGTGGAAGGAATAGCAGGTGCAAAGGTCCTGAGGCAGCCGTGTTGCAAAACAGCCCTGCCCCTTTTGCTTAGGTGCCCACTTGTCTGCCCTGACTGGCCACCTGTGCTGTCTCCTTTCTCCTCCTGCAGCTGAATAAATCTGCTGTCTTGCGCAAGGCCATCGACTACATCCGCTTCCTGCAGCAGAGCAACCAGAAACTCAAGCAGGAGAACCTGAGTCTGCGCACTGCTGCCCACAAAAGCAGTGAGTCCCAGCTTCCTTGCTCCCTTGGCTCTGGTCCTGCCTCCGGCCCTGTCCCATCCCTGGTCTCACCTTAACCTCTGACCCTACGAGGGCCTTTCACCCCTTCTTTGGCCTTCAACTGGCCTTCAGGAGCTAGGCCAACTCCCAACTGCCCCCAGGCCCTGAGCTCTGATTTGGGGTGTGCTAGAGCATGTAGCTTTTAGCCTGCTCCTTTCTGGTCTACAGAATCTCTGAAGGACCTGGTGTCGGCATGTGGCAGTGGAGGACACGCAGACGTGCCCATGGAGGGCATGAAGCCAGAGGTGGTGGACACTCTGAGCCCACCACCCTCAGACGCCGGCTCACCTTCCCAGAGCAGCCCCGTGTCCCTTGGCAGCAGGGGCAGTAGCAGTGGTGGCAGTAGCAGTGACTCAGAGCCTGACAGCCCAGTCATTGAGGACAGCCAGGTTGGGTCCCACAGTGTTGCCCCCTTCCTGTCACCCCTCGATATCCTCTGGGCCCCAGGACTGGATCAGGCTCCTGACACGTCCCACCTCCCAGTTTATAGACAGAGAAACTGAGGCCTGGAGCCGTGTGGGGTCCCACAGTAAGGCCAGGTGAAGTGTGATCCCTCCTTCCCTGAGCCGAGCTCTCTGGGCCACTCCAGCCCCGGTCTCACTGCTCTGCCCACCTCAGCAGGTGAAGCCTGAGCAGCCGCCGTCCCCATACAGCCAGGGCATGCCGGACCGCTCCCGCCTGGCCCTGTGTGCCCTCGTCTTCCTCTGTCTCTCCTGCAACCCCTTGGCCTCCCTGCTGAGCAGCCGGGGACCCCCCGGCCCCTCCGATGCCGCCAGCATCTCCCATGGTCCGAGGCGCAGCACGCTGGGCGCCGAGGGCAGAGGTAGGACAAGCCAGCTGGGGCGTCGCTGGGAGAAAGGTGGGAAGGGGTCTCGGGATGCAGACCCTAGGCCTGTGGGCTCAGGACTCTGGGGTTGCTGGGAGCCATGTCTACAGCCCCTGTCTGCCCCCAGATGGCCCTGGCTGGGCCCTGTGGCTGCTGCCCCCGCTGGTTTGGCTGGTGAACGGGCTGCTGGTGGTGCTCTCCTTGGCACTTCTCTTTGTCTATGGAGAGCCAGTCACGCGGCCCCACTCAGGCCCCTCTGTGCGCTTCTGGAGACACCGCAAGCAGGCAGACCTGGACCTGGCCCGGGTAAGGGGCTGCGCCCAGGGGTGGGGGTGGGCGGGGCAGGGACCCCAGGCCGTGTGTCGGGGGGTGCTGGGCCCAGCATGCATCTGCCCCGTCCACCCATTCTAGTCTACTTCTCTGACCCCCACTGACCCCTGGGGCCCAGCTCACGCTTCCGGGGACACTGGTGTCACAGGGAGAGCCCCAGGTGGAGTGCTCTTCAGGGCTGGAGGGGTGGCATGTGTGGAGGGGCTCCGGCGCCACCTTTCTAACCCAAGAACCTCATCCCCAGGGGGACTTTGCCCAGGCTGCCCAGCAGCTGTGGCTGGCCCTGCGGGCTCTCGGCCGGCCCCTGCCCACCTCCCACCTGGACCTGGCCTGCAGCCTGCTCTGGAGCCTCGTTCGCCACCTGCTGCAGCGTCTCTGGGTGGGCCGCTGGCTGGCCAGCCGGGCCGGGGGCCTGTGGAGAGATGGGGCTCTGCAGGCGGATGCCCGTGCCAGCG